TCGATATAGTATGAGGGTTTAAGATTACCTTACTTGCAAAAGCGGTTGATGGTGCCATCTTCATGTCGACCAACTTTATTGGTGATGTACTATTGTCGAAATTGAAACTGAGTCATCTCTCGTAAGTACTTTTCTTTAGTGTCTTGAAGTTAGACAAACCATGAATTTCCTCCCATGTAGCGCCCTATCTTCAATGCCTTTGAGCTAGGCATTGCTAGCGCCCTTCTATTGATATGACCAATAAAGATATAAGGGCCATTCCCCACACCAATAATTTGGGACAGGGGAATCGAGGGATGGATTAGAAGAAAATTTGGGAGACGTTGGAGACTCATCAACATGGACGTGTAAGGTACGTACCATCTCCTCGAACTCTCGCTTGCTATCACGTGATAGCAAGTTCCCCTCATCGAATTCCCTACCGTTGAATTCTAACTCCTTTTCCATGTTGAAAGAAGGGTTGAGTCGGCACATTCCCATAATCAGCCATATGAGTTTCCAAGTAGCCACAATCAGATTCTACAAAAGTATATCTTGATTGTTTCTCAAACACTTCCTTCTTCGCTTCAGGAGTAATCATGTGTATAATATGCTTCACGTTGTCTATTCTCATCGTAATCTTATGTTTAAGAACGTCGATCAATGCATCGGAAGTGACCAAGAAGGGCCTCCCAAAAATGATAGAGTAATCTCTATTTCTATGCATATCCAGTACTACGAAGTCGACAGAGAACATGAAGGGTCCTATCTCGACCTTTAAATCCCTCGTCATGCCTAAATTCTCAGTGCGTATAAGCTTTCTAAAAAGATGAAACTTGTAACAAAGAGGAAGATGATTGGAGTAAACACTTGTCTGAAAAATAGTAACTGTTTACACCTAAAAAATAATCTTGTACCACATTATGTATTTACAAGGCATCTATTTTCTTTATAAGGCTATATCAATTATGAAAATATTAATTAACCATGAATTAAATAGGCATCTTGTATCCCTATCTAGACCATGAATTAAATCAAGTTTGGGGTATGATACTATACCCTAACCTCTAACGAATAAACCCCAGGCCTCGATTCTCTAAACTCAAACCCGAAGTTCAATTTTATAGAAAATATTAATTAACCGTTGAGATTGGTCAGAGCTCAGAAAAGAAAATCTAACGGTCATATCACATGGAGTATGGTATACTCCAGGAGTACACTAGTCATTACCATATATAGTATATATATATTATTCTAATAAATAATAGTACTATTTTATCAATAACCTATTATTAAAACCATGATTGTACCACTAAATACCATTGTCATATATGAAATCTGGTACGGTCTCACGAACAATGAGTCAAATGATTTTCTACTATTTGTATTAATGTATTCTATGTCTCTTGTATATATATATATATATAGATTCATATAATTTAAAGTTGTTGTAGCACATCCTTTACAACATATTAAGTATTGGTCTTAATGTACGATTTCAATGTATTATTATCATATCTTGACTTATACTAAGTGAATTACTAAACCACGACAATAGGAATCAATAATACTTAGTTCTTTATGTAACTAAGCAGTATATGATTCTTCAAAAGAGCTCTACTTGTAATCTAGGGCTATTAGCTCTTAATTAAGGGGTGGTTTGAAAGTTGTGATTTTCAAATTCATGTATTGAGTCAATTAATATATTATCATTTGATGTATCCAATCAATTGATGTATTAGACAAATACCTTGTTTAGAAGTTTAGATTGTATTTTTGTGGAATAGGTTAGGGTGATTACTTGTTTTTTAGTAATCACGGTGGCAACCTCTTTATATACCATTTGATTTTCTATTTTCCCTTCTTTTATAATCTTACGGTCAAGATTCTTTGAGAGTAATTTTGGAAATAAAAAAGTGATCACACCCGATTATTCTATATAATCTACCCAACGACGATGACTCCGTGCAAGCGACGACAACTGCCGCCGCTGTTGTTGTGCCCTACTCCGACTCTGCCGCGGCCGCCGCCTCCTTTCCCACCCATCTTCCTTCCTCGCCCTCCCCTCTGCGTCACCGCCCCCCAATAAGATATGAGTACAAACGACGTCGATGGCCGGACTTCTGCTTATTCTCTTCTTTCTCAACCTTTTTCCCCAGCGACTTCCGCTTCCTCTTATTCTATTTATGGTTGTTCTAGTAGTTGGACTCAATGTGCAGTAGTATTGGTAATGGTACTATTATACGAATGGGATTTTTAATTAGTATTTGTTATTGATTTGTAAATTGTAATCGTATTCCTCCACTGTCTGCAATTTTTTTTATTTGCATAATGGTATTGCTTTACTAAGCAATGGTATTGGTAATGACATTCGTTAAGGAAAATCGCCTTTTCTTTTGGTAGTACACTACTATTTGGTATTGTTTTATCCTTTGTGTAATGGTAGTCCTGCAATGGTATTGATTCGATGTGCAGTGGTATTGGTTATATATCAACATGATATTCATTCATCTTCGTCTGGTAGTGAAATTTTAGATTGGTATTGGTTTATTACACGTGTATTAGCATTAGTATTAGCAATGCTAGTCTGGTAGTTCTTCAAAGTCTAATGGTATTGGTTCAAACCTCAATGTTCATAATTCTCTTCATATATGCAATGGTATAGATTGTTTATATTGGTAGTTTTCGTGTAATGTTATAGATTTATTTTTGCAATGGTATTGATGTTTTTCAAAGTGGTAGTGATTGTCTAATGGATTGGTAGTGATTTCGTTTTTTTTTTTTTTTTTACAGAAAGATTGAGAAAAATATGGAAAGGAATATGGCTGGAGATTACGGAAGTGAGAGAAAAAGAGAGAATTGTAATTAATAGATTTTTGTAACTACCTAAAATGTAATTTATTAAAAAATTAATTAATATAATTTATTTTTCCATAACCAATTTACCCTTAGTCCACGGTGATTACTAAGTTGACTTTGAGTGATTGTGAAGAATCTCTACTTTTTGTTGAGATTGATAATCTCTCAATTTTGAGTGATTGTGATGGAAGTCTCAAAAAGTTGATGCATGCATTCTAGTTCAATATAAGCCAAAAACACTAAATAAAAAAAATTGAATTATTCTCCATTTACCGTTAGATCTCCTTAAAGGTGGAGTGGGAGTGGTTACGGTTAGGGCTGGGAATCCAGATCAAACCGTATGGGAAACCGCGGTCTAGACCGTATCGTATGGTTTGGTCTGGACCGTGAGACCAGAACTATGGTCTGGTCTGGTTTGCGGTCTCCTCCTTTAGTGCGTGGTCTGAAGTGGTCTGGACCGCGGTTTACCGCAGTAAACTGTAACAGACCGCGACACCCTACCTACTACCTTGGACAAAAATAACACTAAATTGAACCTCCATATGTGTATTTGAAGAACAAAGTTAGTTGATTCTTCATCTAGTTGAGAGCCAACAAATTGCAAAATGATCGCTTATATGTTATCTCCTTATCAAAGTACCACACAAAAATCAGAAAGACTCATAAATAATATTCACAGATAATGTCTAGACTATGGAGTCGATAAAAATTAAACACTACAAAAAAATTCGTTCACCTTGATGAGATAAGGAAAATTATTGAGAGATATGCGACCATCTTAGTGATTCGAAATTACCTCGACGTCATCAAAAAGGTTATCAACTGGGAGAACCTTCGGATCACTCGAGAGAGGAGAGAAGCGGTAGCACAAAGAGAAATAGGGAAATAAGGCTATTTGAAAATTGAAAAAACCCACTTCTATCCTCATATTTCTTCTCATTTAATACGATCACAATTTTTTTTGTTTCACTAGCATATTGGTCACTAGATTTTTTTTATAGATACCGGCGAAGGGTTGGAGGGCGAACAAGAGTTAATTTATTTTAACATGGTCTGTCTGGTCCAGACCGTACCGGACCGCACCGCACAGGTGTGGTCTGGTCTGGACCGTATTATATATGGTCTGGTCCATGATTTGTGTTCCAACCTCTCGGTCTGGACCACAGACCGTATATATGGTCTGGTCTGGACCGCACCGCACCGTTTCCCACCCCTAGTTACGGTAAAAAAAGGGAACAAGTAGGAGATGTGTAATTTCCAAATCAGAACCTACTTTCTATCAATGAAATAAATTTGAAATAAAGAACACAATCTAAAAATGTGCTATATATTAATGGATGATTTTTTCATGTCTATTAGAAAACCCGTAAAACTTATTAATTAATGTAAAGATAATGGTATCTCAATCATTTAAAAGAATTCACATGAAATAATATAAATATATATATGAAACAATTATATATTATAATGAGATCATATAACAAATATACACATTATTTTACACATATCAAATTAGTTTTGGTTGTCATTTTTTCAATTCAATTCCATCTTCTTCTCCCTCTCTTTCTCTCACAGTTTCATTGGCGATCCCTATTCCCGAGCTCCTATCATCATGACCGCGTTTGCCGCTCACCCAATCGTGCCCTAAAATCCTTGATGTAAGGTTTCTCTCATTCTCCTTTTGTTTCTGTTAATCTCTCGTCTACCGTTTATTTTTCATCTCAATTAATCATCATCCATCAGATTTGCTCTTTCAATGTTCCACCTAGCAATCCACCTTTAAAGTTCCTTTTTTCCCTCTCGAATCAGTTCCTTCCCCAATAACCCCCTTCCCTTCCCTACCTTCGACTTAGTCCTTTTATTCATTTTCCTCATTTGGATTTTTTTCCTTAATTTCAAAATTTTCATCTTTTTTACCTGATTTTCAATTTTCCGAACAATCTACTTTTAGGAAGCTAAATTTTTTTTCCCTTTTTTCCTTTCTCAAAAAAGGAAGTTAACATCAATCTTTATCTGGGTAGTCTTCTTATATGCTTTCATTCTTCTATCCTTTCCTTTATAATTCTTATTTTTCAACAAATTGCTCATTTCTAGATTAGCTTGTTTCTTCATTTGTTGATGGCACTCATGATGCAATGTGATTTGATTATAAGGGGGATCATTCTTTATCGAAAATATTTAATCTTCAAATTTATGGGGAAATCAAAGATTGGCATATTTACTCTGGTTAGGAATGTGATTGTATATGTGTGAATTATTATGTATATAAAATTCTTATAGGAGTTTGAAATGCATGTTTAAGGAGTAATTTTGAGAAATCATGTTATCTGAAAAGCCATCCATTTAGTATTTTCTTCCAATTGTTGGATCTTTATGTGAATGGATGTTGATGCATTTGAGCTTCTTTCGGAAAAAATTCAGGATGGGAAGGGTTAAACTAAAGATCAAGAGATTGGAGAACACAAATGGCCGCCAAGCAACTTATGGCAAGCGGAAGCATGGTATTATGAAGAAGGCTAATGAGTTGTCTATACTGTGCGACATACCCATTATCCTTCTCATGTTCTCACCAACGGGAAAGCCTTCATTGTGTAAAGGAAAACGCAGGTATGTCAGTTTTAGTCTAGATTGTGGGGATCTTTCTCTCATTTTCATATTTTTTATTTATTTATTTGGATTCCATAATGACAATCATCAGTTGGCATAAACTAGCTTTCAATTACCTCTCTTTCCTTTTATTTTGATATTTGAAGCATGGAAGAAGTCATGACAAAATTTGCTCAGCTATCACCCCAAGAAAGGACAAAAAGGTATTGTAAACTTGTCCATATTGTTTCTGTTAACTATCTAGCACACGAAGATAATAATCACTGGGCCGAAATTGATTTGTTTTCCCTTTTCTCTTGCAACAGGAAGTTGGAAAGCCTCGAAGTAAGTGTTATATATTGATGCTTTATGTCTCTTCTATAATTTGGTATTATTGTTAGCTTAAGAATTTTTTTGTTTCTCTTTGAGAGTATAGGCACTGAAAAAGACATTTAAGAAGTTGGACCATGATGTCAACATACCAGAATTTTTTGGTTCAAGGTTTGTACTTTGGCTTAATATGTTTTTGCGTAAACTTAATTACTTGTGTCCATTTGTAAACTTACTCATGCTAAAGCAAAATCTTTTTTTTTTTTTTTTCAGTTCTCAAACAATAGAGGTACATACATGAACCCTCTAATTTCCATGTTAGAAGCCTTCCCTATTGTCTATATTATCAAAGCTTGTCTCACTTTGTCTCACTTTGAGTTTATCAGGACCTTACAAACCAGTCAAACTTATTGCAGAAACAACTTTCTGAAACGCAGAAGAGATTGAGGTATGTACATGGTAGTCCTTTAAGAGAAAGGGTACAAAGTTTTTTTTTTTTTTGGACTATCTATTCTTTGCAATATTTCATATATCGGTTGTTAATCTAGATCTACAAAACAATGATGCATCTAGTATTACTTGCTAATTTGCAGCTATTGGACTAATCCCAATGATATCAACAACATTGAATTGTTGGGTCAGTTGGAGAATTCTGTTAGGGAGTCACTTAGTCAAATCCATGCACATAAGGTAACTCTTCTCCGTTTGCTTTAAAGGTTGGATTTAGGTAAATTTCTGGTCAATGGAAGACCTTCCAATAGGCAATGCTAAGAAGAACAATATATAATAACTCTTTCTTGTTTGGAAATTGTTATATAGTATATGCTTGCTACTTTGTGAAATTAGTATTTTTTTTTTATATTTGTCATTGTCAGGAAAATTTAGGAAAGCAACAAATGGATTCACTAGATTGCAATAGTCAGGTAAACCTGTGAATTAGTGGTGGATAACTGCTTTGATGGGATTCCTCTAATCAATATTGAGTATTTTTCAATGGTTCTCAGCCTTGTTTGCAGTACCAAAATGGAGTGCAGGTACCTTATAGAATGAATGTCGAGCAGCAGTTCCCACCTTTGCAATGGCTTTCCAACTACGACAACCAACATATCATGTTGCCAAATGATCCAAATATACTAGCCCTTAGGTGATTAAAACTTGATGATTCTTCTTAGTGGAGTTAGAATTGTTGTGTTCACCACTTTTGTCCACTGACAAATGTACATGATGGTTTTGTTAGGGATGTTGAATGCTCGGCAAGTTCTTCCTATGGAAGTTACTCTGGATACTTGGGCACAGGGAAAAGTTGTGATCTTTCAAATTCTGGACAGGAAAGTGGTGTGAGCGGTGGTATTTTAAATGAGTTAAACGGTAATGCATCTTTGAGGCTGCAATTGACTGGACAGTACCCCTACCTTCCATACCATCTTAATTTGCTTAATGACGGGAAGTTACAGCCCACAACAGCAGATATGAACAGCCTGCAAGAAAGTCCTATGGAATTTCTTGTTAATGGGAGCTTTGAAGCCCCCAAACCTGCTTATTGTACCACTCCAGGCAGTTGGGCTTCAACATCTGGACCATGTGCTATTACCGTATTTGATGAGCAACTCTACTCTCAGGTTCAACTTCCATCTTGTTCTATTATAATATCTTTTGATATCGTCTGATCGTGTGGCTACTCATTTATAATATGTTCATGTACGATTTTTAAATTTACATGCAAATGTATGATGTATCTGGTAAAGGATCTTCTCATGAAAGATTTTCTAAATTGCAGCAACCAAATTGAAGTTTGGAATCAACAAGTGATTGAAGTTGCTCTAGGAGCTAGCTTGGTTGCGGTCATCCAAGGGAATAACGCAATATCGAATACCGTGATGCTATGCTAGAATTTGGTAAAATATACTTTTGTTCAATCCAAATGGGTGACAAAGAAGAAGCAATGAGATATACACATAATAATGCTCAAGTAATGCCATGAAGTGGATGATCATTAGCTCTTGGGAAGATAAAATGGTCTCTATCAATATCGCACAGCTATGTTCTCGCATCTAGTTAGTAACTAGAATCGTCTTTTTGTTTGGTCTTTTGTATAAATATATCATATTATACAACATTAGGATTGTCTCCCCCCTTTTTTCATTGCATTTAGTCATTGTTTCTTCTGGTGATAGGATCACCAAATGGCAACCAAACTAATATTGTCTTTCTACCCTTTCCACAAAGAATGTCTTGACCTGTAACATAGAAAATACTATCTTTTATCTCCCTATCATATCCACACATACAGAATACATATCTAGTGATTTGTAACCTAGAAATAACATGTTATGAAAACACTTTTTTTTTTCTAGTATATGTTAATAATATACTTATTTCTAATCTAATGCATCTCAACTTCCTTTACTGTATTGCATTTGAGATCTTTGCTAAAATGTGTTCTAACTAGATAAAAACATGACCATTCATCCCATTAACTTCCAGTAAATAGCTATTGGTAGTCTATCAAGTCACTTCTATATTGGGAAACAACTGACTCAATGTATACATTACTAAATTGGACTATCATATTTGCACCCAAGAAAGGCTTGCTTAGATTTGGTTTGAGATCAAATGGGAGTTTGATGGAGAAATGCATAAAGAAAGTTCCTCCTTCATGGGCAGGCAGATGATCGCTTTTTTCTTGCCCTTTGAGTTTTTGTTTTCTATTGATGTTAGAGAAAAATATTGGATGTGCTTTGAGTTCTAAGATGTCTCAATCATAGGAGGAAGAAAAAGGTTGAAAATTGGGATTGCCTTATCATTTATTAAGTCCTTTTTCTTTAATAAAATAGTTTTAGGATCTGAATGTTGGAATACATGAATAAGAAGATAGTTTCATATTTCATTTTTGAAAGGAGAAAAGGTTCATCTAAATTTTAGACATCTCCTCTATCGAGAGAACATAGGTATAATCAACTTGTTGGGTGTGGACGTTTTACACAAGTAAATCAGGTATCTCACAAGTCTCCAGTTGAAAAAACCATCAATTAGACGTATGCTGTTATAAAGCTAGTGGAAATGTAAGCAACTATAAGAGAAGATTGGAGGAGGAAAGACACAAGAGAAGTGAGGGGAATAATTCTTCTTATTCATACACCATTTGTGATACAATAGTGTGCTCTATTTATAGGCACCCTTTGGTAACCATTACATCAATGCATATGAATTAGAGATAATAATATAGGAATGGGAGTTACATGTAACTCCCAAGTGAGCATCTAATGTGGTAGGTCATTGGTCATCCAAATATAAATATTTACATAATACTCCCCCTTGGATGACCACTAGATTGCATTATTACGCTATCTCATGCTGCCTCATTAAAAACCTTACCAGGAAAACCCAGTGGGAAAAACCATAGTTAAGGGAAAAAGAGTGCAGCGCGTATATGCTCCCCCTCATGACCACATCAGCTCAGATCTTTGAGTCGTCGAACTCCAATTTCACGAACAAGCTTTACAAAGATTGTCGTTGGGAGTGACTTGGTGAATAAATCTGCTAGATTCTCACTTGAACGAACTTTTTGAACAATTATTTCACCACTCTTTTGAAGATCATGAGTGAAAAAGAACTTGGGTGGAATATGTTTTGTTCTATCTCCTTTAATATATCCTTCCTTTAATTGAGCAATGCATGCTGCATTATCTTCATACATGATCGTCGGGATCATTTTTCCTAGAGATAGTCCACACGATTCTCTAATGTGTCGAATTATAGATCTTAACCAAACACATTCACGACTTGCCTCGTGAATTGCTAGGATTTCAGCATGATTGGATGATGTGGCTGTTATAGTTTGTTTTGTGGATCGCCACGAAATGGCTGTACCACCACAAGTGAACAAATATCCTGTCTGAGATCTACCATTGTGAGGATCTGAAAGATATCCTGCATCTGCATATCCCACTAAATCCATCTTCGATGCACTCGAATAGAACAAGCCCATATCTGTCGTTCCTCGAAGGTAACGGAGTAAATGTTTAACTCCATTCCAATGTCTTTTAGTGGGAGAAGAGCTATATCTTGCCAATATATTCACAGCAAACGATATATCGGGTCGTGTATGACTGGCTAGATACATTAATGCTCCTATCGCACTAAGATATGGCACTTCAGGGCCAAGCAGATCTTCATCACTTTCTCGAGGTCTAAATGGATCTCTTTTCACATCAAGTGATCTTACAACCATTGGATTACTCAACGGGTGTGATTTGTCCATATAAAATCTCTTAAGCACCTTTTCAACATATCCTTCTTGATGCACAAAAATACCATCCTTCAAATGTTCAATCTGTAATCCAAGACAAAACTTTGTTCTTCCTAAATCTTTCATTTCAAACTCTTTCTTCAAGCAATCAACTGCTTTTGGAAGCTCTTCGAGAGTTCCAATGATGTTTATGTCATCAACATAAACTGATATTATAACAAACTCACTACCCGATCTCTTTAGAAAAACACATGGACAAATAGGGTCATTCTTGTATCCTTCTTTCATCAAATATTCACTGAGACGATTGTACCACATTCGTCCAGATTGTTTCAATCCATACAAGGATTTGTTCAATTTGATAGAAAATTTTTCTCGAGAATGTGTTTTGTTTGCTTCTGGCAAAGTGAATCCTTCAGGGAGTTTCATATATATATCATTCTCAAGTGATCCATACAAATAGGCTGTCACAACATCCATTAGACGCAGATCTAGTCCTTCTCGGACTGCTAGACTAATCAAGTATCGAAACGTAGTTGCATCCACCACAGGGGAGTATGTCTCCTCATAATCAATGCCAGGTCTCTGTGAGAATCCTTGTGCGACAAGACGTGCTTTATATCTCACGACTTCACCCTTTTCATTTCTTTTCCGCACAAAAACCCATTTGTATCCCACTGGCTTTACGTTTTCTGGTGTAAGGACTACCGGTCCAAAAACCTTTCGCTTTGAAAGCGAGTTTAATTCCGCCTCAATGGCCTCTTTCCACTTTGGCCAATCATCTCTTGATTTGCATTCATCAATAGATCTTGGTTCATGATCCTCATTTTCATTCATCACACTCAACGCTGCAGCGTAAGCAAAAACATCGTCGACGATTATTTTACTTCGGTTCCAACATTTTCCATCCAAGACATAATTGATTGAGATCTCTTCATTATCAAAACTCTCAGGTACCTGATGTTCTTCGGGAACTACAATCTTAGTTATGCTTGGGGACTCTTCTTGAGCTTTCATATCCTCGATTTGATCAACTTGATTCATAGCTCCTTTTCTTTTTCGAGGATTTTTATCCTTGGAACCTACTGGTCTACCACGCTTCATTCGTGGTTTAGATTCATTTGCAATTTCAGATTGTCCAACAGGGACATCAACTTTCACTGGAGCATTTACAGCTGGTATGTGTGACTTTATCACTCTTTTCTGGTCAGTAAACAAATCCGGCAGTTGGTTTGCTAAACCTTGTAAATGAATTATCTTTTGAACTTCCAGTTCACATTGTCTAGTACGAGGATCAAGGTGAGATAATGATAATTCATTCCAACAAATATCTTTTCCCAGCTGTTTGTTCTCACCCCCTAATGTTGGAAAAACTGATTCGTCAAAATGACAATCAGCAAAACGAGCAGTGAATAAATCTCCCGTCAAGGGTTCTAAGTATTTTATGATTGACGGAGACTCATATCCAACATAAATTCCCAACCTCCTTTGAGGACCCATCTTAACACGCTGTGGTGGAGCAATAGGGATGTAGACGGCACACCCAAATATTTTTAGATGGGAAATATTAGGTTCCTGACCAAAAACCATTTGCAAGGGGGAAATTTCATGATAACTTGTTGGCCTTATGCGAATTAATGTTGCCGCATGCAATATAGCATGTCCCCAACAAGATATTGGCAAGCTTGTTTTCATAAGCAATGGTCTTGCAATAAGTTGCAAACGCTTAATGAATGATTCTGCAAGGCCATTTTGTGTATGAACATGTGCTACAGGATGTTCAACATCAATCCCAGTGGACATACAATAGTCATTGAAAGTTTGTGAAGTAAATTCACCAGCATTATCTAGACGTATTTTCTTGATTGGAAAATCAGGAAAATGTGCTCGTAGTCGTATCAATTGGGCAAGTAATCTAGCAAACGCCAGGTTGCGAGTTGATAGTAAGCACACATGTGACCATCTAGTTGATGCATCAACTAAAACCATAAAATATCTAAATGGTCCACATGGTGGGTGAATTGGCCCGCATATATCACCCTGTATACGTTCTAAAAATGTGAGAGATTCACTCCTTACTTTCACAGGTGATGGCCGTATAATCAACTTGCCACGAGAACATGCAACACATGGTACATCTTTAAACTGATAAATTTTGTGACCTTTCATTGGATGTCCACATGTATTGGCAATGATTTTCCGCATCATAATCAATCCGGGATGGCCTAACCGCTCATGCCAAACTATAAAATTATCAAGATTTGTAAACTTCTGGTTTACCACTGCATGTGTTTCAATTGTACTAATAAACGTGTAGTACAACCCAGAAGAAATAGCAGGCAATTTCTCCAATATGTATTTTTTATCGGAGACCATATTTGTTATCATAATATACTCTTTATTCTCTTCTTCCTTTGTCTCAATATGATATCCATTTCGGCGAATATCTTTGTAACTCAATAAATTTCTTTGAGACTTTGAAGAGTATAAGGCTTCATTGATATACAACTTGGTTCCTTCTGGTAACAATACACTAGCTCTTCCGGAGCCTTCAATTAGATTTGTACTTCCAGATATAGTACTAACATTTGCTTCTCGCATTTCAAGATGAGAAAAATATTTCTTATCCTTCAAGATTGTATGTGCCGATGCACTATCAATAAGACACACATCATGGTTTTTGATCTTGGTGCCAAGCATGGGAATATTCATTCTTCACAAAAGATAGAAAGTAAATCAATATAAGAAAATATCTCCAAATAAATATAAAAATAATGACATGATTATAATGGATGAAATTTAACCACATAAGGATTATAAAGAGAAATTATATTAAACTGACAAATTAATAGGAAAAACACACTTAAGGAAAACGACAAAGAAGGTGAAATTTCAAATGGGAAACCTACATTTTTCACTTGTGAACAAAGCGACAACGAAATAGAAATTTCAAATGAAAATGCTAAGTTTTTCACTTGCGAACATTTCCATCACCAATCAGGTGATCTATTTTTCCTTCAGGGTGGGCAAAGAAGTCTGACACATCTAGATGAGTAGCATCATTATAGTCTTTTCCTGGATCATCTTCCTCAAAAATACA